TAACATGCTCGTGATAGGTGATAGGAGTTGATTGACCATATGTAAACTCCTACTGCAGGACATGGAGGTTACGTAGTCCGAGCCATGAATAGAATAGAATAGAATAGAATAGAATAGAATAGAATAGAATAGAATAGAATAGAATAGAATAGAATAGAATAGAATAGAATAGAACAGAACAGAACAGAACAGAACAGAACAGAACAGAACAGAACAGAACAGAACAGAACAGAACAGAATAGAATAGAATAGAATAGAATAGAATAGAATAGAATAGAATAGAATAGAATAGAATATGAAATATAAGCAAAGTAACATCTAAGGTCAATTACATAGACAATAAAAAAGACACATACATGTACCATATACAATACGCTGACAGATAACTTGATAACCGAGTAAGAACTCGTGTGTGTGGGTGTTCGAGAACACTCCCGTTCTTGCCCTGTAATCATTTAATGATAATGGACAGTGCGAAGTTCTTTCTTTATTTCAATCATAATACCCCGAAATTTAAAATACGTACAGCGGCACGCTCGAGAAGAAAGAAGTGGACGGCTTGTGGTGAGCTCGTCCGGATCGAAGACGCGCACGAGCAGATCATGAAGATGAACGAATTGTAATGGGGGTTTGTTATTTAAACGACCGTCCTCCGAATCGCATGATGGTTTCGTCAATGTGATTTAGAAAACCTAACACATAATACAAACAAAGTATAAACAGCAGTTTTTAATGACAACGAAAATATTATTTTTATTACAACCCCGCTGAAATGGTGTCGATTTGTCGTACTTTTTTTACATCAACTACCCTGTAAGACAACATATTCCATTATTTCACCTTGTGTTACCACCGTGAGATATTTCCGGAAGTGTTATATAATGTTATTAAGTGTTATAAATCAAACAAAACTGGTCTTTTTTGCGCTACAGTATAGGTGTGTTCATAAAAGTGATTCCATATTTGTATTCAATCGGAATCGATCAAATATGCTAAAATAAGGTAACTGAAATGTTTTTTTTTTACATGTGGGTGGCGTTCTAGGGTAGGGTATGGTTCCGATGCATGAGGTAAATTTTTCGTAGATTTCGAGAAATGTCGACGTCCACATTATCGATATAATGTAAGAGCGCCCTCTGTGTCCACTGAATAAAGTTGTTAGTACAAGTTGGTAGCATACTCGTATACTGGTATTACAACCCTTTTTTAAAAGCAATGTGCATACATATATATACATATTTTGACGAAACTGGGTGCTGGTTGCGTCTGCATTCATTCACCCATTGTTTGATGTAACAATTATTGCGTTATCCACACCGACACGTAAAGAGCTGATCTGGCGAGAAGTTGGCACTAAAAATAAATACGTTAAACACGTGACGAGAAGTGATATATGGTGGGTGCAATTATGTGGTAGATCGGGGCGTGTTAAAAGTTTCTGACCAAGTATTTATTTCACCACATTGGAATGACTTGCATTGTCAATAAAACCACCAAGTCATGTTGAGTCACGCAAGAAACGTCATAGTATTTTAATGTTGATGACCATTTACATGATCAGATAATTAATTTGTGTTTTATTATTCATGAAAAAAAAATATTATTTAGTTCTATAACTTGACTTGACGGTTATTGCCAGCATTATGCTTAGCTTTTATAGTTCAAATGCGTAATGACATACTACTAGTGTCAGCCCGCAATTCATACCTGTATACCAGGTGTCGCCAACAACGAACAAACAATTATCGATTGGTATCTGTACCTCGTTACTATCGTCTCGTTACTCGTGTTGTAACAAATATTTGTGTCTGGTGGGGAAACGTCCTTGAGTGTACGTACACTCCTACTGTAGAATTAACGACTCGGAGGTTACGTGTGGTAATGGGCGTGAGCAATGAGCGACCGTCACGGTGGCGGATATACAATGTAATTACCGGGGGCTTGAATTATAGCAGGGTACGGCAAGTTGTCTTAGGTAACACCGAACACCGAACACGCAAAAGAGTGGTCATACTATACCTATTTATCTATAGCCATATTTATACAAAAGTACATTGTTTTAACCCACGTGTATACCCGGGTTTATGTCAAATACAACGTTTGAAATACGGAAACACTCGGAATTCCTATAATATCCCCATTTTATTGTAAAATGCATACACAATACATAAGTTTGATATACAGGCATTGAGTACAGCATTTTACACCGTAATATATATATACTATGGGGGTTCTAGGCTGGTGTCTGTAATATAAAACATGGGGGTAGTACTAGTATGTTGAGGCAAACCAAAACCTGAGAAATATTACTAGTATGACCGATATTTATAAATCCTAAAACGGGAGCTATTCATTTGTAGCAACTGTACCATGCTCCCCTAGAAATAATTATTAACGTGGTGAATGTGAAAATATTATATTTAAAGGCTACATAATACATGTTTTACCTCCACGGCACAGCCTGATTAATTGTCGACAGTAATACAACGGAAGGTACTAATGATAATACAGAATCATATTACTGTGACCGCAAGAAAAAATAGAACTTCAATATTGCAGTATGAGACACTGTTTTGCAAAAAAAATAGTTACATTACACTAAGTGTTGTCATAGGAGGCAATGGCTACATTCTGAGCAATATGGCTATATCATTAGCAAAACAGTGTCTCATATTGCTTTTGAAGTTCCATTTTCTCTCGCTGTCTTGTTTCTTGCCATTTGCCACTGTCAAAAAACACAAAAAAACATCGTTTTTATTGCAATACGTTTTATTTTTTGCGCATAGCAACGGTACACGTCAATACAACGATATACTGTCATATTACCCGCATATGGGCCTCCCAGGGACGTCAAAACAACGACAGCTGATCCTAACCCTGGACGGTAACAGCTTCCCTGGTCCGCATATGACGTGGATTTGCATTGGAAACATTGTTTACGTAGTCGATCGCTGTTTGTAAACGTCCTCCGCAGTAATGCCGGTATTACCGGGTATAACCATAGACAGTTTCTAAGGTCTATGGTATAACAAACATCAATCTAATACCGTTCACACATCAGTGTTATATTTCGCACGCACGTTGAAAACATAGGACTATAAATATAATGAATATATTTTCACATTGTAGACAAGTCAAAAAAAATCACAGCGTCGCTACACTAAGGATACTAAATATTTCACTCACTTGCCGAGTTAAAGAAATCACTCGACTAGTATGCTGTAATGTATGATAGCTGGGTTCTGGATAGTTGCCACGCAACCACACTTTGACATATTAAATATATTTCATTCGTGGCTGGTTTTAATGAAATATTGATTCGAGTGAAATGTTTATTATTACCAAAACGCACAAAGTCGTGTTTTTTTAAATTAGCATTCCACACAATTTATGGTATAATGCCAGGTATACTAGTATGTTCGGTGTTTGTTTAGTGGTGATCTTGTCTAGTTGTACTATTGTGCTAAGCATCTCATTGTTAACGAATCTCCATTTTACCCGTCCGCTTTAAACCAAAATCGACCTATTGTGTCTAAACCAATTATGTTATGCACAGACCTTCTATCTATAGTAGAGATTGTAACGTAATGGGTATTTAAAGCTTGTTTCATCACAAACAAAATGTGGCCTTGCAAAAGTTGTTCATAGCTGCGATTGCGAAACAATACTGCTCCCGTAACTCGGCGCATCTTGAGCCTTGTGATTCTTAAATCAAAGCACAAGCGAGACATGGTTTAATGACAGATTGCACGTGGTTGCCCCAGACTGAGGGGGGCGTTTGTGCCGAGGGTAGGAAAGACCAATCCTCGACAGTGCTCACAACTTAAAATGCAAGAATGGAAAGATAATTTGAAATTGTAATGAAATTTAACAACCTAATCAAAAGCCATTGTGGAGAACTGCAATACTTGTACATGTATATAATAAGGGTTTGCAGCAAAGCCTCTTTCTTCATCAGACTGCATTCATTTCAAAATTAGCATCTTGAACAAACGTACCTGCTCTATTCGTCTGACTTGCCTCGCACCAAAATAAACGGCCATCTGTTTAATGTTAACTATTTTAAAGGGAAAATTAGAGTAGAGCGAATAATATTGACAGTTTAATTTTAGCAGATTTGATATGCAGGCATTATATATTTGCTAGGTTTATACATTATGTGGGTAACTCTGCATATTTACCGGATATTCGTCAAATATAAAACAGCTGTTAATATTAAACCCTACACAGAACGTATGTGCCTGATTTTAAATACTACCATGTAGCCTTGCTTCCTATAATGATAAAATTAATTTTAGAGACAATTTTATTCAAGGATTTTTAGTTAAATAATGTGAATTTACACTAGGTACATACATTTTTATAAAACACCAAACCTATACTGTGCTATATTATACATTTGTGCTGAACTGGCTGAAATGTAATTTTCATTATTAGTGAAGTGTCATCACACAACGCTGTTTTAACATGGGTCCAAATAAATGCTGTAAACTGCTTAATGTTATGACAAATTTTCGAGTCTGAAAAAATCATAAAATTTCTCATTGGGATCATTATTATTAGTCAGTGGTTATCGGGAGCAATCAAAAATTAATGGTTTCCAATAGGTAACACATTGGTCACACCCAATTCAAACATGTGCTGTGAAAATGTGTCATATATGCTTGTTTAAAATGTACTGCTTGATTCACCCAACTTATGTGACCTAAAAATTAATATAAGTGCCAAAACAGCAAGAAAAGTCATTTGGTATTAAACGAGCAATGGTGCTAAAATGCAACCAAAACTCAAATCAGAATGTCCCATTTTAAGAAAACAGAATGTAATACTGATATAGTGGTCAGTCAGGAGTAATGCAAAAATTCTCTTATCAATTGATGTTTATATGCCATGAATTCTAACCCCCTCCCCTCAGCCAGCTTACCCATTAGAAAAAGTTAATTTTCAAGTGGGTAAATCCTCTTACAGAAACCACTCACAGAAAAATACCAAAACAATAGTTTTCACTGGAACCTTTGCCAATACCTTTTAATATATAAAATTACTGTTAGCTATGTTGTAGGACTTCACACACAAAAATTAAGAAAACTAAAACTACAAAGGCTTTCTTACAAAGAGTGTGTACAAGATTCAAAAGTTAATTTTGTATAATAAAGTGTTATTTAAATGAACATTGTTGTACAATATAGACAACTCATGTCCACCTAAAAGTTTCACTAACACCTGCATTATTGAACTAAGTGTCTTACAGGTTTCAGTCCAGTTTTTAAAAAAAAGGATCACACAGTTCTGTAAATATCAACAATCAAAACCTGCTTGTTGTATATATAATATATATCTATAAATTGTTATCGTCTAGTAATGTGTTATCGGTATAAAATCATATGGAGCTGTCACTGGCACAGTATGAATAAATAGAAAAAATATACTACATGTACATATCTGTGCAGAAATGCCCACTGTAACTTCAAGTTCTGTCCACCAATAATCATGAATGAGTGTTACGATTTCACAACCACTGTTTATGTTCTCAATATCCACACACCTTTTGGAACTGATACTGGTAGTTATGCTCCCAGCAAAAAAAGAAGAAGCTAGACGAGGCATCAATTATCCATGATCAATTCTTTGATACAAACAAAAATAATTTTTTCCTACAAAAACTTCCCCTTTAAACACACAGCAAGAGATTCAAGTTGTCTTCTCACAATAAGACATCTTCAGTTCATATTATGTACAAAAAAATTGTGACTAAACTTTACAATAATTTTTTATCAGACATGTGTAAGTGGTATAAACAAAAATAAACAACAATTAAACATTCAATACAAAATTATTCTCCTTCACACCCACCCTAATTATCAAGAATTTCATGCAAAAAATAATTGTTAACATTGTAAAATCAATTAAATAAATGTGCTCTTTTTTTAAGCATGTAACAACGCGAAACAAACATTGTCATTTCCAGTATGAATACAGGAAACACAAATGTCATTAAAACTAAATGCATGGCTTCGCATTTGTAGAGGTGTGCAAAAGTTATTTATGTATTAAATCTGTTATCGTACCAACACAATATGCATCACGAAAGTGTACATGCAACAATAAAACTGTGAAAAAAAGGTACTGAAATTTAGTTTGTTTGATTATCAAATGCCCAGTAAAAATGTGAAGCCATGACAACAATATACCAGTAAGGTGATTTAAATTGCACTGATCAATTCAAGACGCCATTTCATTTTGCAATGATGACAATTTACAGGATGTGAAGAGTTCGATTCTACAGTTACAGTGGCTCTTATTGAAAATATGTAGACGATGGAACTTGCTTTATTGGCAGGTAAAGCGCCGATGTCACTATTTAAAATACAAGCAGTTTTCCGTTTTAACGAGCAAGTACGTACGAGTTTTGAAGTTACCTTTGTTCTCTCACACACATATATATTATACTGCCCAGAATGAGGAAATGCAAAAAAAATCGCGAAATAATCCATTATGGCTTTAGAAGTTATATGAAACTGAAGCTGATGCAACAGCTAAAACGAAGACGATCATGCGCGTTATGCATGTGTAGGCATTCATTTCATGGTCACAGCTGATACAAACAGTACACGCGTTGGCCAGCTGATCGCACTATGCCTCGCTCGTGTACACTTTCAGCCTTCGCGACAGTATCTACTAACATGACCAAGCGACAAGTCACCAATAGGGCAGGTTTTCTTCAAGAGTATGTGGTGTTTTCCAGTACGCAAATTCAGACCAAGACAAATTGTCATTTATTCTAAGATCCCGGAGATCATCTTGCAACTGTTCATGTTGTGAGACGGTTTTCCATCGTTCAGATATGATTCGGTAATTTGTGCCGCCGTTGTTATCCCAGAAAAATTGGCCATTGCATTCAAAGAAAACACAGAACTCAACAACTTCGGCCTCTGAATTCGAGGGGATTTGAAATTCAAACGAAAACGAATCATATCGTTCAGGTGTAGCTGATGCACCCACTAGTGGCCCACCGAATGTCGACGGAACGTAAACAGCTGACACGTCTTTGGAGTTGGCCCATTTATCACAAGTCATACGAATTTTTACAGTCTTATGATAAGATATGTTTTTAACTTTAACAGTCCCCATGATGGTTGTGTTATCTTTGATTATCACGTTTTCTAAGCTGACATTTTGTCGTTCTAGCTTGTCACGAAATTCGAGATAGTCCGATGCCGGCTGTCGAAAATCTAATATATAGTTGTGTGTTGCTGATGGCTGTGGTATTTCGTCAATGGTAAGGTCACCAATTGCTTGAATATTGAGCGCTGGTGGTAGGTCGCTGGGTTCTTGCATTATCCGCACCGATGTAAGAGCCAGTCCGTTAGAATCTGCGAAAGTCACTCGTTTCTTCAGTTTAACCTTCCCGTTTGTTTTCGAAACAGCCTTTATATCTGACAAAATTGCCATTTTTATCTCATTTTCAATGACTGTGTCTGATTCTTTCACTCCTGTATTCCCGGCCAGACACGATTTGAGAGACCTTTTACTCGATGGTAAAGTATGCAATTCGGCCATCCGCGATTTCATCCCCGAGAATTCAAATGGGCTCTTCAACAGATAGTGTGTTGGAGTTGGTGGACTGCAGCTGTACAGGAATAATGAGCAATCGACAGGCATGTTGCAATGATGTTCGTGTCACTTGAGTACGAGTCGGCACAATACAATTTTGAAGAAAGCAGTACACGAGTCAGCGAAAACACATTTCAGCCACAGTCACACGTCTAACTCACTCTTGAGTAACAACTGATCATCGCTACCAGTTCATCGTCAACATAAAATGACAGAAAATTCCCAGCATTTCATCATCTGAACAACCGTTTCTCCACCTCTGCAAGCAGAACAACTAAATTGATTACTCGGGCAGCCACGGAAGTAAACAATTTACTTACTGGAACAATGCATTTTCAATGAGGGGTGATACACTTTTATTGAATTTGTGAGATATGACTTCGATATACATTCTACATGAAAACAACACTGTTTTGTGTTATTAAACACTTTATATGATATGCTGTTCGTAGTGAATACCACATCTTTAAGATTTAATAAAATATTAGCTAAATCTTCATCATTTTTGTAATACGAAACACCCCTTACGTGTGAGTCATCCCACAATGGTACCACATTTAAACATAAACCGGTTTCACGTGCACGTATGGCGATCGACCAATCGCGATGGAGTTATGCTTACGTGACGCAATGGTTATCAGGCCCTGACCAATCAGCTGCCAGGAGTCCTGCGTGATTTTATTTACAGCCATGTTTACATCATTACGAACGAACGGGTTATTCAGGGGTTACGGCGGGCTTTGACCGCCACTTTACATCAACCCGTTGTTGTGCTATATTATAATTTGACCCATTGACGTCCAATTTTCAATGCAAAACGTAATTCTAAACAATACGTACGTTATCTGTATGGATGAACCACGGTTACTCCGTGGATGAACCATAGTGGTAAACATCCGCAGTTTGAAATGTATACGAACAAATATTCTAGATAAAACTGTATATTCAAAGGAGAGTATATTTTAAGGGACCCTCCATAAAAACACGTGTTATGACTCTTCCTGTGTAGCCCTGCGTAAGAGCGGCACTGAGTGAAGCAACATACTATGATATTCCAGAGAACGCTAGTATTTGCACACTGCTCGCCTTTTACGTTATGGGTTCGACGTTTGAGAACGGTAGGGGGGGGGGTACACACATGCAAAAAAAAAGACTAATTTGCATGATAACTGCATACTAGTAATGTAAATTAATTGGGAGTAAATACAAACATTGTATGAGGCGTTCAACATCTGGTTCAGAGTCCCCAGTCTCCTAACACACACAATCTCAAATCAAGTACAACTACAAACCAAAACACCGTTTCATTGTTGTATTATGGGACAATTCTGACCTATTGATGTACTTTTTCTCCGAGTATTGAAATACTGGATAATGTCACAGGTGACTGACAAAGAAATGACACGAATGTGACCAGTATTTTGGCCTATTTTACTGTCTGAACAATTTAATTTTGCATTTTGTTTTACATGTATCTTGACGGGCTAGTCTTTTGTTCAATTATGCAATCTCCAACTCTGGACGTACGATTACACCCTAGACTGGCACAGTCTGAGCGATTTATTTCTTTTTTTTAAAAAAAATAGCGAAATGGAGGTGTTAACGCGAAATGGTGATTTCGCGTTCACCCCACCTTTCGCAAAACTATATTTTTACCATTTTTTTTAAATCACCACAGCTGGGCCAGTCTAATTACACCCCATAGAAGAGGGATAGACAACTACAGAATTTCTATTGTACGATGTTTTTTTTATTTACTTAAGTAATTAAGTAAATAAACAACCACACTTACTAACAATAAACGATAATATTGACTTTTATCAAAATGGTTATTCAACGATCGATATGGACTTGAACCTCGATGATGATAGACAGTTTTATACAGCTGTCAATATTTTCGCTAAATGTATATTCATGGAGATTGTCACTGACAAATTATAGTATGATGCATTATCTGATACCTGTTAATATCAGATAGTATATCAGATCTATTCTGGAATATTTCCACTGACTTTCTTGGATAACGTCGTTCGCTTACAAACCACAAAGCAATTTACATCAACTCGCGTCAGTTTCAAGATTTTTTCAAAATCTCAGACACAAACAAGATATTTAATTTATTCCAAATTTATATGCGAACGATACATTGTAAAATGCATTAGGATAAAGAGAATTGCACATCACCTAAAATGATTTGCTGCTATAACCCCCGACAACCAATCTTATAAATCCATTTTTACCACTAGTATATCACAAAACGTTGCAGACCCCCTATCGGATATTACAGTCTGAGAAAGGCAATCCAAAGCATCGTTTCAAAAAGTTGCCTAATATTAAACATCGGTATTTAATATTATTTTTTACTGCACACTGCCGATTCTGATTGAATTTTGTTTTGTGTGTTTTAATATTTCGTATTTTTACATGTATGAACAACGAATGTTCCACATTTGTTTTATATTCACTGCAATTCAACAGACGGGATATAGTTGGGTAAATATATAATTGCTGATGTAATGTGTTTATAGTGTTTATTCAATACACAGTGACTGTGTTCAATACAAGACGTGTTGCAGCCATGTGGTCGCTCTGTGCATGCACGCACGAAAAGTATGACCACGGTATTGAAATTACCATGACGCATGCTCAGAACACCGAACTGGCGTCACCTTATGCATGGAGAGATGGTATTTGGACGCGTGATGATTTCGTGGATCGAAACGCAGAGTAACTTGTAAGCTGTCAACATATTTTTAGTACAATTTATAAGTTATAACTAAAATACATTAACAAATAATAATAACAAAAATAACATGTGGTTAGTTTTTTTTAAAAAAACTTCCAAGAAAAGGTAAAGAACAAAAGTTACGGGACTGTAAAAATACAAACATGTGTACAATGTATCTCATTACCTCGGAACGTCGGTGTCGTGCATATTGCATGGGACTATAATATATGCTTACCCCCCGGTGTTCGAACCACATACTAAGCTCGGACGGTTTCTCCATCAAGCATGGAGCTCTCGCACGTGATCAGTGGACATGGAAAAAATTATTACAAGAAATACGTATCCTCTCCATGTCGCTGATTGGTCGATAAATGACGGAACTGTAGGATTTAATAGCTGCGAATTGTTTTCCTGTTTTTATTTTTAATTACATGGAGTTTGGTGTCACTGTTCCGAGGTCGAGTTGCGTTGTCTGTAAATTATAGGCGAAACGTATCCACGATTTTGACACCGCATAATAACTTTATGCGCCACTAACAAAAATAATTTCCAAATAAAAATAACTTTACTAAACCCATTATGAGAGTAAATATATACACTCATACGCAAACTAGTAAATGTATATTCATATAGCTGTCAAGGTCACTTGGAAAATATTTAGAAGCCCTAGGGTAGGAATAGACAGAAATAGAAATAACTGGCGGTCTCATAACAAACCATGACTGGCTAGATACCAGCAGTCGGCCGAGTGACCGATACATATCCTGCACTCGCCTCACGTATACTATCCATTTCGTACAAACATGCAAATGACCCCTGACCTCGCTTTTACGTAATTGCTGCCATGGCAATATAGCTGCACGTACTGGTATCTCCGGCAACAAGTTCACCTTATATAGGATGGTTAAATCACCACACGTAAAAACACAAACATACTTTAAATTCGTACAAATACATAAGTTGGAAGTAAATGTCAATAATATATAATCAAACAACAACTACAAAATTGCTGGAAATGTTGAAATACTAGTATATTTAGAGTAATCTTGCCGATAGTTTGTAAAAACATTTCCTTCGAACTACTAGTAATCTAATTCACAAAAAGGGGAAACCAAAACAAAACAAACAAAAAAATTACAAAATAAAAATATCAAAACAATAAAAACAACACAGAAATAAACTGAATGTGCTCCCGTGTGTTAACTAATTGCCAACATCCATGTGTTAAGTAATTGCTAACAATGCATTAATTGAGCAAATTATTTCAAAACTAATATAAGGACATTCCCAGTGAATGATTGTTCAAGGGTAGTTTATTGATATTACGAATCAGTTACATGTAATTATACAAATTAGCTAATAGACTGCAGAATAGTATTAACTATTATAATTCATTGATATATATATACACAATCATCATGTATGGTTAATTAGTTAGTTAATATGCAAACTGAAAAATTAATATGCCAACATTTAAGTTTATTTGTATTTTAAGGCCCTTGGACAAACTATGGCACTAGATATGTCAGCAATAAATATTCATTAGAAGCTGCCATGTTCCAAGTTTTGATGTATTTGTGATAACAGGCGCAATGATACACAGTGAACTTGCTAAAACTGATTAATTATTAGGCAAAACACCTAATTAACATGCACGGATTTGAACTAAAATCTAATCAAGTTTGGTGATCTAGTATGATATAGTAGTTGTGTACCAAGTTTGAAGCCGTTTTACAGACACACATACGGGCAGACACAGTAATGGACAGCCATCGGTACGATGTTACCCCCCGTGTGTGAAAAACACAAACACGGTAATTAAAATTAAATCTATGACTACGACCTCGAGAACTGAGTCACTGTCGTCGCGCGGTAGTCACACTGCACACTGATTGGCCCAGCAGTCCCGATATGCAAATATAATTGTAATTGTAGTAGAAAGATCAATTACGCAACAAAAATATATGCAATCCATGCGTTCAGGTTATTCTAATTATACAACAAATGGGTCAAACATCCACAAACATAGCGATTTTTAAAGTCATTTATCATTGTTCCTCTATATAGTAAGAGATTCGTCATACAACAAAATCACGTGGTGTTTTATTTGAACAGAATAAATCAATTCGTTAATGTTAATTAGTTTAATTTTGTTTTTGCAGTGAAAGCGTTATATACCTATTTTAATGGATTTTTAATGTATACCAGTCAACTAATAAGCGTTTCTCTATTTAGAACTAGGATTGGACATCAAATATCTTCTGTTGTATTTTTTATATCCTGTTTTTTTATCATACTTGAATCTATTTCACTTTCATCTAGTTCTTTCATCGTAATCCCCTTGCGTTGCTGCGAGATCACGGACCCCTGGTGAATGTTGGTAAAACCTTTAGTAATTTTTATTAGCACTTTTCTCACTTGTATAGAAGTTCCACACATGCAATGAAATAACGGGATCTTGTAAAGAGACTATAGCGTTCGTATAAATATAATTATATTACTCTTGGCGCAACAATAGCATTTTTGCATCTTTATAAAAAATTATAAATTTCAATGGCA